ACAGGTGAACGAAATCTGTGAACGACCCCAAGAGGAATTTTCCATTAAGGGGTCCTAGACTGAAGAAGCAGGGACGAAAAAATCCGGGTTCATCACACAGACGAACCCCCCTAACCGATCTATCGTAAAGCTTGGTCATCCCCACTAATCACCAAACAGGAACATCAGACTTAACACCCAGCACTGATCACGTCACTAGTCATAAGGAATCTCACGATTGGTTCCCTGACTGCCTTAAAAACCCAGTCAACCTACTTACTCACTTGGCCTGACGAAGCTTTTGTGTCAAAAGCGAAACGTTGCCCAGCAATAAATCCACCAATCGTTTACCAAACCTCTCTGAAACGATGACTTCCCAACCGGTCCCAAACACTTTCCAATTGATTGAAAAGGTTGGAGCTGTTTTTCCGAGTTGAACAAGAGTCTCATTGGCGAATATACACTTATTTGCAAACTAGTTTGGTTTTTCGAGAGACTCACCTGGAACCCAGCTGAATCTCTCGTTTGTGATGTTTCCAGGCAACCGAATGTGCTGCACCAGGCCGCCCCATGTTTCAGTTGCTGCGATATTCGAGATATCGCGAGACAAGTATATATTTGTAATGTACTACTCATGAGGTTGCTGAAAATCCGTCGACAGCCCACGACCGGTTTCGCCCTTCCACTTTGGGCTCATCAGGTAGGCGCAGTCCCCGAGTTTCCGTCAACCTTATGTTCCACTTGAAATCAAATTGCACGAAATTAGCCTGGAAACATCACAAACGAGAGATTCAGCTGGGTCCCAGGTGAGTCTCTGGAAAAACCAAATTAGTCTGCAAATGAGTGTATTTTGCCAGTCCAAATCTTCTCTGGACATGGTAAAAGAACGCGATGCCCAAGGCATTTTTGATTCAGGAGTGTTAATTAGGCCAGGTTTTCAAACCACATTCGTCCCAACCAGGCGGTCAGCCTGCTCAGATTTATTGGCCTCGAAAAACTCAAGGTCAGACGTTCCGAAATCAGCTGGACACAGTCTCGTACTACGCGCGTCTTGAAATTCCCGGCTATTGTAGATTGGGGATTGAAAAAGAGAACTATCCCTAAGCCAACCGACATTGCCTTACGGTCAAGTTGCAAAGAGCTTTAGTCTGCGATTCAGAGCCCTGATGGTCCATCAGGAGTTTAATAGCTTGGGTAGTGAAGCTCTGAAGGTCAACACATGGGTGCTCTAAATGACGATGGCGACAAGGAGTTTGTAGCACAATCCATATGGGCACTACTGTGACTGAACACCTTGCCGCATCTAGTCAACATACACATCCGTGAAAACCACTCACCTCAAGAAACCGAAACCAAAGGTCCAAATGACAAAATCGCCCTCGGAGCAAAATATCCCAATAGGGGATTGCATACTGCAACACTGAGGGAGCAAAAGATGGGAAGATGGAGAATAAGTCAGCAAAACCATACAAAAATACTGACGCGTCATATAGATCGGCTGATAGTTGGATTTGCGAAGATGGTTTTTATGGAGTACAAGGTGACTGTCAACGGGGTGCGGCGCGCAATCGCTATAGCCACCTTGCTAGTGATGAGATGAGATCAATGCACGAATCTGCAAGGCTCGGGTCGCGTTTGCTAATTTCAGACACCTACGGTTTCAAAGTGGTGTATTCCTGAATCTCCAGGGACGTGTGTATCAAGCTACAGTGCGGGCTGTTTTGTTTTATGACTGTGAAACTTGGCCTGTTCGAGCAGCGGAACTGAGATGTCTTCAGGTGTTCGACAATCGTTGTCTCAGAACCATAGCTCGTTTGGTTTGGTATGGACGAATCCGTAACCAGGCAGTTAGGAAGCGAGTTTTCGGTTGCGCAACCAGTACTTCCATCGAACAACGTGTCCAGCACCGGAAGCTGCGTTGGCTGAGACATGTGTTGCGTATGCCGATGAGGGTGCTGTTTTCCATGCCCAACTCAGAGTGGCGTAAACAGAGAGGTGGCCAACGCATGACCTGGCAGAGGGGTGTAAAATAAATCACGAAACGTTTGGGTACCGTCGGTGCTACTCGCCTTCTAGGATGTGGACCATATGATCTCCACTACGCCTGGTTGGAGACGCTGCAAGATATGGCTGCCAACCGATGTCAGTGGCGTTCTTGTTGTCAGTTTCTATCCAGATTGCGTGACCGCGTGTCTGGAGGTGATTGTGTTAAGCTAGCACTGAGTCCCTTCCCCGTCCACCTTACCTCTTTTCTTTACAATAAGGCTTTCAAATAAATCATGGTTTTACGGCAGTGAAGCATCGGTGTTGAACACTGATGTCATGCTGTCGATGATGACGATGAGATACACACAATCGCAATGAAGAAGGCCAATACATGATGGCATTTAATCACAGTTAGTAAGCATTAGCCCCTAACTGAACTATCTGGTGAGTGTTCTAGGCCTGGTATTCATGAAACAGCAGACAGAAGAACCAGGTCCGAACATAACAGGACTACACAACTGCCAATGGAATAACCGCTTTTGTTGCGACAGATTTGACTGGTTGTTCTTCAATGGTCCAGATGAGTTCTGTGTTTAACATCATTTTTGGCCTACCTAGAACACTTCATATGAACTCTATGAGTACGCGTCAATAATTCTCAGTAGATAGACTGATTAGCATGTTTGTTGGCTAGGCGCATTAGGTTATCAAGCGGCTATCCAGACTCGGGTTCAAGGGAGGGCATTAAGAAAACCGCGGTCCACAAAAGGTAGTAAGATCTCCACGAGGCTGGCATGGGCGTAAGCTACTTTCTAGGGAGTACGATCGTCCAGCCTGTTACAGCGCGCGGGTTTTTTCGCAACTCGCGTCATCATTGTTGAATGATGATTCACTCACGCTACCCTTGAAAGGAAGAAGGCCTTCGCTGCGGAGTTATTTATTAGAAAATGCCAACTGACCGGTTACAGACTATTGGACAGGGAAGCAAAACCCTCATTTGCATCTTATTTACAAAAACGGAATATCTATCTTCTCTTGAACGCGTCTTTTTGAACTTTCCTGGATATTCATTGCTCAAATCCAAGCAAATGTTACAAAGCGACTCCACAAATTCCGCAACAGATCTCCCCTTTTCAAGAGACGCAAAGCGAAATTCCAAGAACAACACATACTATTCGCATGCCTCTCCAACAGTAGTATCACCGTTACATCCTGATTTTAGAAGAAAAAACCGGCAGAATCATAACAGAATTTGACTTCGCATCATTAAGCTGATGGAACCGCGGGAATAACTGCAAACAGCAAATCAGTAGCCTGGTTGAAACGATCCTGAGACGACCGTTTCCACTGAAATTGCTGGCTTGGATCGAGACGAGTGTGAACCGGTTAGCGAGTTATGTCCCATCCACGCGGTTTATGATCAGAACTTCTGCAGGTAGGCCCAAATGCTCAAACTGATAGCAATGGCCTACGTGGGGTTTGAAGGCCTACTGTTTGCTGTGTCCAGCCCGATATCAAGTACGTTCAGATGATAATAATCGTTCAGCTGTAGCGCGCTTTCGGTGCCTAGCTGCCATGCCACCCGAAGGAAGCATAAGAGCTAGGATACTGCCAGGTTACCCAAGCCTAGACAGGGGAAGTCGAGAGGCAGGGGTCGGGTTCGAACCACGGACCTTCCAGTCAGTGAATTCGCGCTCTAACCACTTGAGCGACCTCGCCCCGATATCAAGTACAGTTGTTGGACCGATGCAAGGCTTGTTTATTCATTTACTTATTCATTATTGATGTGTATAGTACGCTCCTCGTGTGAAATAAGTCCGGAATACTGTGCACAAGTGTCTGTTTCTTTTCAATCTTCAAGTAGGTCACGGGAGAAAGCTGTTTTACAGGTCCTCAGAATGACAAATCTTGACATGGAATAAGGTTTCGTAGGTTGGCGAAAATTACGAGCGGGAGTTTATTCTTTCAGTGCCAAAACAAGAATGAGGCAGGTCGAAAAAAACCTAGATCGTGCGGCCGTACGGAATGACCATGTTTATGTGATCCGTAGGAAATTTTCACTGTTTAGTTAATGACACGAAAAGTCATCATCATCATCAACGACAGCATGTTCAACACCGATGATGCTTCGCTGCCGTCCCAACCGGTATCACGAAGTAAGGGTTGTGTCTGTCCTGCATGTTCACCATAACCTCATGCCTGCAGAAATCATGTGTTGAGGATCATTCTTTATGAATGAGAAGAGAACCAATGAAAATATGGACCTTGTGACGAAGTATGAAAACACTAACCAGTCAAGTCAGTCGGGTCGACAACTGCGGCCGCCCCGGAACTCAACTCATCAGTGGTTGATGAGACTGGCAGACATGGTACAATCACGCAGTCAGTGGAACTCGCGGATCAGAGCTATCGCCTTCAATGTGTAGCTGTCCCATTTCCCCAAGTAACTGATGGTGCCCTCGTCCGTCCCCAAGTTATCCCATTTTCGGAAACTGTAGCCGCTGAGATCAACGTGTACTGGTTACATCATCTATAGTTAATAAACTGAGCTGAATGAACCATAACGTGGTTTCGGGGGAACCAAATAGCAACGGAGGACTTACCCAGCGATTTGCTCTCATGTTTGTCTAGGTTGGCGAAGCTGAAGGTAAACAAATAAAGGGATTCGAAAGCATCTCGGTTGGCAATTTCGGCGTTCAAGGAAGGGAGCTTGGCTCGGAGTGAGTCAATCGAATCACAGCTGCGATAAGGGGTAACATGGAGAGAAACAAGGTGTGCATGAGAAGACAGGCAGATGGCATGAACTCGCGTGAAAAGGGCGACAGTTCGCCTTCACTTTGGAAACACCCGTACAAATCGAACATGGGAAGTAAATATCAAAGTCGTGGAACCAGTGTGGCCCACCGAACTTGCTCGGTGCTTATTCGGATTTCGAAGGGGAAGGTTCAACATCTAGAAGGCTCATAAATAAAGAAAAAAATGTTCTAAGCCCGGATGTTCTAACCCCGATTGGTTGACCAATCATGGCATGCCTTCGTACGCTCTCTAATCGGCTCATGATACACCCAGCCAATCGACGTGACGTTGGGTTAGTTAGAGCGGCTCGCATCTGAACCATAGACGAGTTTTTTGGACACCACTATGAGCACCCACTAGTGCCAGACCAGGCTTAGTTTTTAAGAATGCCTACGTCTTCGCGCCACCAAATGCAGAGTAGCAGGCAGAATGTGGAGAGTTAGTTGTTGTCTGCTGTTGCCCAGCAAGAATTCCGAAATATCGAGACATTCCAATTCGATCGCAAAGGATGCGACGGTACGGTTGCATGTTTCCGTTGTGAAGAGACCGGGACTCATAATCTTGCAACAGTTTAGGCACCCTACGGTTCATCCAGCTGTGTTGTAGTATTTTCAAATGTAAGGTCAAGATATTCGTTCAGATGTAATACCCTTTTGGTGCCTAGCTGCCATGCCACATGAAGGAAACACAAGGGCCGCGGCACTGCCAGGTTGCCCAAGCCTAGACAAGGGGCGGTCGAGAAGCAGAGGTCGGGTTCGAACCACGGACCTTCCAGACAGTAAATTCGCGCTCTGACCACCTGGGCCGTCTGGCTCCCGTAAAGTCAACTTACGCTGAAAAGTCGCTCGTGTGCGAGCGAGTAAGAGCCCACACTGCTACCACTACTTGGATTTTCGTGAGATGGGCACTGCTGACGACATGAAATATAAGGATGAAACAGGTGTACAATGCATCATGGCTTATAAGCATAGATTAGCTTCACTTACAGGACGAAATCTCAAAATCTCCTCATACTACCAACACATCAAGTAGTCCAGAATGAAGAAAAATTCACACGAAGAGGGAAACTTCCACCTAAGAAGTCATCCCTCGAGGAGCTAAGCAACAGCTGACCACATGTAGACCTCGTGATTGATGGGTGACCGGCATCATCCTGCGAGCTGATCAGCCGTTCGAACGGTTGCGTTCAACCACTGGTAGGGAGGTCGTGGGTCACGTGAGGTACTCACTGCTTATGACTCTCAATTAGGGGGCGAGATGGTCCGAATGGTTAGAGCGCGAATTTATTGACTGGAATGTCCGTGGTTCGAACCCGACCTCTGCCTCTCGTCTTCCCCTGTCTAGGCTTGGGCAACCTGGCAGTATCCCAGCCCTCGTTCAACTTTCGGGTGGCATGGCAGCTAGGCACCGAAAGGGTGCTACAGTTGAACGAGTTAGAGTTAGTTAGTTAGACTCTCAATTAGAGCGAAACAGCTGTACAGTTCTCAGCGTTTCAGCATAGATTGGTTATACTTGCGGGACGAAATGTCAATTGAAAATGAACAAACCTCGCATTACCAACGATGCGGCATTGACAGTTTCTGTCACTGGACACAGGCTAGACAAACACAACCACCAAGCTCAGCAGGCTGGGACACTAGAATGTTCTGGTAGTCCAACGTGAACTAACGCAGTCTTGTATCGAGGCCTCTGAACCGAAGATTTTGGTTCAAGTTCGTTTTCTCTTTTGAGTTTGGACCACATGGCATTAGTCTAACCCACAAACAACCAGGAAATACGTAAATAAGAGACTTTCACACCGTATCGGAGGTCACGGGTCACCTTGTGTGCTCCATACAACGGATGCACGAAAGCACGCCACTCTAACGTGTTTCACCTTTCTTCATTCTTTAGTACCATTTAGTAATGTTGTGTAAAACTCACCTGTAGGCACGTCGGTCACTCAACTGCACACCACCGCTCATATCTGTCGTTTGGACATCGCTCTTCTGTCTCTAGTCTAGTCTATAGACCAGCGATCTACGAACACACGCCATACTTCTGAAGCGCCAGGTACAGTAGGGCACGTTCACTGTCCGGTTACTATAAAAAACGAGCTTTATTGAATGTAATTGCTGCGGGACGCTGCACCGATTGTTGCATAGCCGTCAGCTCGTGAGCTGAGGCTTGATTGGATAAATAGTCGAGTCTGCACCATACAACTATTCACCTAATTGCTCCCTATTCAAAGCGTCTACTTAGACGTTAGCCAGTAGTACCGAGGAGTATAGAGACAAACTGCTGGTGCTGTCATCCGGCACCGGTGATGAGGCTTTTTGGTCCTTGAGTATCGGCCATCCGGGAGTTCACAGGTTTATTCAGATCATGCCCTTCCTTGTTCGGTGTAGTTTTTTAATGCAGCACAAGTGGCCGCCTTCTCAAGGACATTGGATGTGATCGGGACAAGATAACAGCCACACACGACGTGCGAACCTCCGACTGTGGCGTTGCCGAGCATGTACACAAAACCCACTGCAACCAAGAACAATCATCGTTACTTCTTGATGCGACACGCGGTTTCCCATCGGAATTGGGTTATAACCCGGCTAGAGATCAGCCGACATCCATGTTTAGCCAGTGGCGTGAGGGAAACTGTCCGGAGGTCAGCGGTCCCCAATAACCGAACATCACATCATTTGGACGGATGTGTCACGTGCAGGACACGGACCAAACGAAGGCATACTCTGATTGGCCAGAATACCAGCCAATCCGGATCGAGCACCTTTCACTCGACGCTTCTCGCCCCCTCACGGACATTCTGGCATGCCCTTGGGGAACGCTCTGTGACTAACCTATAAATACATTTGTAATAACTTTTTTCGTTTGTCTCGATAAACGGCTGTGTAGAGCTACCGTGCCTTTTGATATACCATAGTGGGCGGAGCAGGAAGTCAAGGGACCGATACAGAGTTGCACTACCGTTCAGCAAGGCACAACAAAAACGGAAGGTAGTTCCAACAAAATTTTGTTCGGCCCTCTGCCCCTATATCGATCCGTTTGTGAAAAGTGATGGTCTGTTAGTTTACATCCTCCCTCAGTTCACGAAGTGTTACTATACATTTGAGGCTTGAAACGCCCCCAAGCCATTGTCCCAGATGAAGTTCCATCAGAAAGACTCAAAGATGGTAGTGAATTTCCGTGTTGTGCAGTCGTGTGAAGTTTGTTCTGAAACACTTATGAGTTCCAGGGAACTTGGTCAACCAGTCATCGCTCTTTGGATAAAAAAGCGACTGGTCCAATCACGAAGGGGTACCAGGCCTCACATGTCAGCATGCTTAATAGCCTTTCCACTAAAGTGGTTCCGGGTCAGAAGCTCGACAGCCCAAGTACCAGTTCGACCAGATCAACTCTACAGCACGTCAAATGTGTCAGTGGCGTCCCGCGTATCACCGACGAATAATAACTGTTTGACTTGACTTTAACTCTTTTTTTGTTCGTCTGTAGCACCATTTCGGTGCCTAGCTGCCATGCCAGACGAAGGAGGCACGAGGGCTGCCAGGTTACCCAAGCCTAGACAGGGGAAGTCGAGAGGCAGATGTCGGGTTCGAACCACGGACCTTCCGGTCAGTAGATTTGCGCTCTAACCACTTGAGCCATCCCCCCCCCCCCTTGTGAATGGGTTAGCCGTTTTGCATTCATACTTCGAAAATAGAGGGATTTTCTTGAATTCTGAAAGGCCCCACTTCATCCTCCCTAGTCCAAACTTACCATCCTATAAGAGTCTACCGTGGAAAGCTTTTTCCGCGACTAGTGAACAGTTCTCCTGGGCTGGTATCTACCTCGGTTTTGTGCAGCCTTTCACTGATACAATCCTGAAATACACCCCAAACGACTTAGGATGTAAGAATCGAGACGACACCCGCGGATTGGGTTGGAATGGGCTTGGATAATACACACGGCACCTGCGTCTCGCTAGCTTCCTCTAACCAGAATATCAAGATGGTCCTGCGTTTCGCCAAGTTGCAGTTTTCAATCCCTTTGTGTCCTACAGGAATTTCAAAGTGAAGATCTTGAAACTATTCAATGATCTGCATTTATTGGCCGCTGCATAAGCCGTGAAGTCAACGCAGGCGTTAGCACATTGACAGTGGTTTTTGCCGGACTAGATCATTCGTGACATCAAAAACACACTTCGGTGAAGCGGAAGAGCTGCGTCCCCTGAATGGCCCCAACATCAAGCGTCCTGTCTGTTTCCAGCTTTCGCATCGCAAAGGACGCTGAGTCAATCCAGATGATGGAGTCTTACGTCAACATGATTTCCAGGCTGACGGAAGGTGTGGGCACACTTCAATACTACTCGCTTCCGTTTTTCAGCTGATATGACCGCGCACAGTGGTTGCAGCCGCCACAACTTCGTTCACCAAGGACAAGGAAAGAATCGGAGCCAACTGGCGATGACCCAAGCAATTCACTGACGTCGAACAGTTTTGTGCACAGCCATATATGTCAGGATCAGCAACAGTTGGTTTGTCTTGTCCCACGGTCCCCATCCCCAGAAGAGTGGTCAACGCGACCGAGTTGACTTGTAAGGACTTTCATACTTTGTCTGCAGGTCATGGACTGGATGCCCCTGGGTCGTTTCCATCCGACCCGAGGGTAGGAGAAGACTCTACGACGCAAGTCCTCTGGCATGCGAAGCACATGGTTTAACTAGCGTAGTAGTGTGATCAGCCGATCCATTGAGGGAGAATGTACTTTACTGAAAACCATCTGTCGCACTTTAGGATTACTGAGCTGGTTTTCACGAGACTCGCGCAATGCCTCGGAGGCACCGATGGTTAAACAGGCAGCCTTCGAAGATCTTCAAACGCAGCGGCCTTGAAAACGATAGCCACTGAGCCAATGTCCCGGCGGTTTTCGTATGATATCCTTGCATCCTTTTTAGATAGGGGAATCACGGTCGGG